TTTCATTGGCCAATGGGCCTCAAACGTCACAAGAATTTCACATGACAAACTAAAGGCAGACGTGACCAGTGCACTGACTCTCCCAGACCAGGACTAACGGAAGGTACAACGCTTTTGCAGCAGCCTCCCCCCCTAGGGATTGACGTGGAGGCCCCTTTCCAACCCATGGCGAGTTAGCTCAGGGACTGAACTTGACAATGAGACCAAGCAGGACAGCAAGCCCCCTATGTTTTCTCTCAGCGCAGTGACCAGAAAGCTGGCTATGGCCAGCTTTCTGTGCGAATATTCTGGTGCATTTTCAGGTAGGTTTTCAAAAATTCGGCTAGATGTACAAAACCTATTAAACGATATTCTGGCATCTTAAGGTGCTACGACAGGTAGCCATGTCGTTTGTTTTATAAGAAAATTGTCCTCCAGGGTAAAATCGCACTTAAAATAGTCTGACTACCGTATTTATCCGATTAAACGCCGAGGCGGTTTATTAAATTTTTGGCGTTTCCAATGCTGCGTTTATTTCGAAATCACCGACAACAGTTATTGTAAATCGTTTGTACATATTATGTAATTTTAAGGTTCCAATGTCTCCCTTATTTTGCTGTACCGAGGTTTTTCTTCCTAGGTGCGGCGTTTATTCGAGGGCCGAGTTTATTGTTAATTGTTGCTTCCATCTGCGGCGTTCGTTCGAGGGCGGCGTTTAATCGAATAAGTACAGTATTTCTGTTCACAATGTAGAGGAAGACAGGAGATGGGTGGGAGCGCGGGAGAATAGTCGAGTGGGCGGTAGGGGTACGTTAGGCAGAAGAGGAAAGAAAAGGCGGAAGGTGGTAAATCTGAAAGGATGGAAAGTGGGAGAAGTGCTTAGTATTTCGCAATCAAAAAAGGGCTAAAGGGAAGAATCCAAGAAAAATGGATTGCGATCCGGGAATTAATGCCAAGTGCGGGAGGTAGGAGTTTTGGAGCCCCTGTTCCCTTATATATCCTGAAAGTGGTGATCAGTCTGAGGATGAATTTCAATATTCTCAGGCAGCCGCAGTAGGACATCACTTTAATTCTTAAGAAAACCAAACAGACCTATTCATCTATATGTGACCTGTCAAAAACGTGGAATTTTTCACTGTTAAATCTCGATATCGCCTTTTGATCACTATAAAAAAGGAGTGAGAACTGACATTAGACAGTGGCGGATCCAGACCTTCAGATGTTGGGAAGGGGAGGGCTGGTCATCCAGACCCTGAGATCTGAGATAAGGGATAGAGGTGGGGTGCGGTCTCCCAAAAAATTTTTTTCGACCCTTAGGGCCTCATTATGGTCGAAAAATAAGGGGGATCCCCTGGATCCGCCACTGTTAGATGACTTTTTTTTACTTCATTTCTCTTAACATGGGGCAATAACTCGCAAGGAAGTCCACAGCTCTTGCAGCGAGTGACTCCCATCAGGGACTTGTTTAGAAAATATACTGACTGTATATCCTTTAGTATCATACAAAATTTTGAAGTTTTTACTTGTTTGTCAATCAGTAGAATTTCACGGGCTTTACTAAAATGTTTCAAAAGAGTGGATTCCAAATCAGATTTGACCCCCATAAAGAATAATTAGCAATTAATGATTGAGGCTGAGTAGGATATGAAGAATTAAGCAGATTGAGGAGGGTGTAATATACCGAGGCCAAAGGCCGAGGTGGATAACACCCTCCGAGACCTTCTTAATTCTTCATTTCCTACGAAAGCCGAATTCATTAATTGCTTTATTATTCATTCAAAATAATTCCAAGTTTAAAAACATAGCTGAAACATGCTTACCTGCATCGATGTTAAGTTCATCTTCGATACTGTACGTTTAGGTTTGTCCAGCTCCGCAAAGATTCTCCAAATAGCAGATATCGCCCTCCGAGTTGTCTTCTTGCTGTTTTTGCCATGTTTTTAGTTATTATTTCGCCTAGTTCTAGCTGTAGTTCTTACTCTTGAAACGAGTGAAATGTCCGCCATTTTTTTTTTCACAACCAAAACAACTCAACCTCGTCCCCAGGTCTTCTCGGTTAACGGTGCATTAACCTGTAGTGGGCTGCATTTTTGACGTCATTTCCTTGTTAAACACAAAATTCTTCCAAATTTGGTCATCAGTAACTAGTTATGGTAAATTATGCGTGTGCTTTTAGCCAATCAGAATTGGGGAAATATTTTGAATTAATTGTTGAATTTTCACGAGAGAAAACTGAACAACATTGAAGTACTACCATAATTCTTAACATTCAGTTTTCTGTGGTTAACTGTTTTTTTTTTGGCTTTTTAAATGCTTTTGTTCCGGGAAACTCAAAAGTGAGTACTTTCTAGTATATTCATAAAAGGACAGACGGCAAATTGTTGTGGCCCGAAATATCTAAAGGTCGTAACTGTTAATCAGTAGGATGCCTAAAATGGGTGCAATTCCACAAATGATTTCGGCTCCATTATATCCTATACCAATTGTAGAACATTTTAGGAGAAGCCAACCTCAATGTGAACAACGTTACCGTGACAACTGAACACAGTATACAAATGAACAATTTGCTAGTCAGTAAACCCCAGACAGAAAGGCTTTCTGGCTTATATCGACCGCACAACAAATTTTTAAAATTTCATTAAGAAAAATTATTTAATACCTCTCAGATTTATAGGTAACTAAGAGCTTTGTGTTAAAATGAGTCCATAACAAAACTGCGTGATACAGTGATAAAGACAGCGGCATTTATCAGGATCACCCAACGACAGAATGTTTCCAAATACGTCAGAAGTATCTCAAATTGTTTGCCTCTATGCTTTTTAAAGCATAAAAAAAAGCCTGTTTTGAACACTATTTCCCGATTCCTAGGCCTCGTGCTCATATATATATTTTTCTCCGTTTTCAAAAAAGTACGCATTTTCGAATCAATTCCGCCTGTCCACACGAAAACGGTAAAGCAATGGAAATACGATTAAGGAAATACGTAAAGGAAATACGATAGCATCCCTTACAGGGCATGCGCTGTATGATGTATGACATCCCCGTATTCGAAAACCCCGTTTTGTCAGTTCACACGAAAACAATAAGCCGGGCGTTTTCAAAAAACTCCACTCTGGTTAGATTTGCTACAAGTCGACTTTTAGAAAGTCTACACTCTGGTGACCGTTTTCGAAAACCTGCTTTTTTGTGCCCGAAAACACCGTTTACGTGTGGACGGAAAAAATCTGGAAAGTTTTGCTGTTAGTTACTCTGATTGGTCTGGTCGAATGTTCGAAGACATGTAGCAACCGTTCTTTCCTTAAGAGATGCTAGGGGATAATTTGTATTTTTTCCGACATTTTTTTCCAGGAGACCTTTTTAAAAAGTCGCAATATCTTAGTATTAATATGAAAAACATAACCTCCGAAAATTTTTTGATTTAATAGTATGTGGTAGAAAAACTCGGAGTATCTTAGACGAATGGAAATCAGCTAAAGTAGTGCCGTATACAGTAGAGCCAAATAAAGGTCAAGTGCTAACAATTTCTCAGACATTTAGTTTTATTTACAATATTTATAAATTTTTAGCTGTTGTCGCGCTTTCAACTTACTGATAAAAGGGATCTATTTGAACTAAATGTTCAAAAATCTACAATGTACTTTAGGCTTTTGAAACCTAGCGTATTATTATTATTATTATTTTACTATTATTATTATTTATTAACTACTTATGTATGCGCAAAAATATCATACAAAAGATTTTACTTCTCAACGAATTCTAGTCAAAAGTCACACTTTTATTTTTAAATACATTAAGTTTCGATCTAACATTTTATGTTTTTGTTTTCGTACTGCAGTGAGTTCACAGCACAACACTAGCTGTTATCTGTTATTACTTGAAAAAGGAAACGACGCCGGCGTGTTTCTTACCTCGGCAAATAAGGGGGCTCAAATGGCTTGACCATCGGACCCTAAAGAGGGATGGGCGTACAGAGAAATGAAAAATTTCTCTATTCTTAAAAGAAAATAGAAAAATCCGTCGTTTTTACTGAAGAAGGGTGGAAAAATAGTTTCTTTGTCTAATGCCTTAGAGGCGAGTGTTAAAATCTGAAAACACTTGTTGAGAAGACCTCACGGCAGCTATTGTAAAAACTCCGTCTCTATCCTATCATACTAGAGGCTGTATTACGTTCGTGAAACACAAACAAGGTAACTAAGTTAATCTCGAACTCAGATTTCACTCTGTCTTACGCTCTCCTTGGCCGTGGGAGATCTGTGAAAGAGATCAGTGAACTTAAGCAAAGACGTTTTTGAGCGACGCACGTCCACCGGAAGTGTTTTTTTTTTTCATTTTTGGACAGTGGTTTTGCCCATTTTTTAGGACAACTTGTCTCTACAATAGTTAAGACACTTAGAAATACAAATTTGGGAGCGCCAAGGTGCTTTAAAATGAAAAAGACCTCACTTCCGGTTGACGTGCGTCGCTCAAAAACGCTGTTGCTTAAGCTCCCTATTAACGTATCCGACTCCTACGAATATTTTCGGGAAGGTTGCCTGCTTTGTTTTTTCGCCGCTTTTCTCCCCTTTTTTCTTTCAGGAAAACTAGTTTAACCATTGCACGAGTGGCAACACAATAGAGGGACGCATTCGGCAAGCTATATTCAGTAAGCGAGGCGATTATGTCAACGGCAACAACGACAGGCCGGTCCAAGCCACTGTACTTTCTGAAGGTACTGAGAACAATATTGTCATGATCATTACCTTCAGCATCCACGATTAAACCAAAATGCTTGGACAGTGCACTATAATGATCTCCTTGGAGAGACTGTTGCTTTCCAAACAAAACAGCTATCTCGCCTTTGCTATAACCTTCTCTTAACAGCTCCGTCAGTACTTCAACCAAGTAATCAATTTGTTTTCCTTCTGGATAGCTTAAAAACGTTACTTTTTCTCCGTTGAAATCGTGACCTATTTCTACGCGACCCGCAGCTTCTTCACTAAGACGTTTTTTGGCATATTCAAAGATCTCTGTGGAGGTTCTTATCACCCTTGTGAGACGAAACGACTGGGGAAAAAACGTGGTATGCCTGTCTTGAACCTGTGATTGATTTGATTTCTGTCCAAGAAACTCCACAAATAGCCCTCTCTTTTGCTATCGTTGCACTCTGGATCAAGTTCAGCGTCAGAGTCGGTATCAGGGTTGGATTCTTCGTCACTTTCGGATTCACCGGAAACCTCTCCTCTTCTTTCGCAGACAGATGGTGAGTCTGTGCTGTTAGATCCAGATTCACATTCGGAATCATTAGCATGCTGTCGGACGACACGTCTGGCTTTTCCTAACCAATCTCCATCTTCATCTCTAAAATTCTGAACCTCGTCCAGGATTACGTGCTTGGTGAAGGAAAAGTCAAAATCGCCCTTCATAAAGGCTTTACGGGTCAAGCAGTCGCATATGTTCAGTTTCCTATAAATAGTAAGAAATAACAAGCGCATTACATTACCAAAAAAGTTACCTCCATATACGCGCGAGAAGTGTGGGCAGCTGATGCATACATTCAAGAAGGACCTTCGTGATTCAGAGAAATAACGCTATATCTCATTGCATACATGCACGATTGCTAACAACGCACAAAAATGAGCTGCACAAGTCGCGAGAAGGAAAACGACATTTATAGTAAAAGAAATTGCTAGCTTGAATCAAGAGCAACATACATATCTTCAGGTATTCGAGACAGACAGTGAGAACTATGTTAACAACAAGAACATCAGACGCCGTATGCAAGAAGTTTCAAAACCTTGTCACAAACTCAGATCTAGTTAGCGTTGTTCTTGCACTCTACAAGAGACTTAAAAGTCTAATGTTTGTAACGTTCGATTTAGTTCGATTATACCAAAAAGGCAGACTTACGATTTACGGCAAATAAATGCATGTACTGAAAGAGAAATAAAGCTAGTGCGGTAGTACTGGTTAGAACTCGAGAGAGCGGTTTACTCTTAATACGCTGTACAATGTACGTAACGCGACTAATGGCATAAAGGGGAGGAATGTAAACATCGCTAGTGTGTAACAACAATTACGCAGAATGTAAGAAACTTGCAAGCTGTTTCGGAAGTAATCTGGAAATAACTTAAATGTTAACTTGGCGTGTTGAAGTTGAACCAAACACTCTAATAGTACATGTACGGCGAATACGTTATCCAAACCTCCACGCTGGAATTTGAAAGAAACATACCTTACTTTCTCAAGTATTCCAAGGTTCTCACAAACGTACAGTATGTTGCCAGGTCTAAGGTGGGAGTCACTACGAAGAAGCTGTCTAATAAACTCTACAGCCACCACCGTTTTTCCTGTGCCAGCTGCACCATGAATCCATAGCTCTCTGTGTTCGTCGATTTGTTCATACAACAGTTGAAACTGTTGCTTTGTCAGCAAATTAAGAAAGGTTAAACCCTCCTTATTAGAAAGGAAACTGGGAAATTGCGCCAAAACGGTTACTAGTGACCGGAGTAGTTTGAAGATTTTCCCGCGTGATGATTGCAGATTATACTCCTTGGGATATCGATTGTTTGGGGACAGTTTGTCAAGTGGCTCAGTTCCTACTCTCTCGCAAGGAACTACGTGACAGGTAATGTAAAATTTTTCATAGCAACCGCCATTCATTACTAAAGATTCCTTCACAGATTTGCCTGTATTATGGGAATACGGTAAGAACTGATCTTTTGATCCACTGTTGACGAGAGTGAAAAGGTGAAGTCCACCCAACTCTTTATTGAAGAGGAGAAGGTCACATATAACACCATCATCTTTAGTGTGATTTTCGTCTCTTTTGACGGAAGAGAGCATTGAAGGGGAGGCTACAAGAAGTGCACGTTCACGTCCTCTCGAATTCTGCTCTTGTATTTGCCGTATTACTTGTTGGGCTGTTTCTGGAAGGTTTGACTCAAAACCTTTAGGTGACAATGGACATCCAAAATCAACTAGTACATAAAAAGAGACAATCAAGGATAAATAAAATGCTAGTATCAGCCTGAAGAAACCTTCATGAGGTTTATTCTGTATGCCATAACAATTGCAAAAGAAAACAAATGAAAAAAAAAACAATAAATACGAAATAAAAGCAAAAAACAAACAAACAAACAAACAAAATAAAGTTAGAACACCACACAAATCACACTGACACACTAAATAATGCAATTTTTTAATGGCTATCCCATATACCCATGTTACCTATATCCTCATGTATGTTAGATTAATTCACATTGTAACAGAAAAGATTAGATTGGATTAGAATAGACATTCAGAGAGATGCGACTGGCATAAAAAAGATAAAGAAAGCGGAGCCGGGGTCAATTAAGTACAACTTTTACAAGTGCAGCTATTGTAGCTGCACTTGTAGAGTAGACATTCACAATAGCTGTAGCAGCTATTGTAGAGTAGACATTCACAATAGCTGTAGCAGCTATTGTAGAGTAGACATTCAGAGAGATGCGACTGGCATAAAAAAGATAAAGAAAGCGGGTAAAATTATATGAGCCGGGGTCAATTAAGTAAAACTTTTACGAGTGCAGCTATTGTTTTTCGGACAATAGCTAGACTTATAAATTACACAAATAAAATTTTTAATGAAATTGACACCGGGTTTGTTACTGACTCAGTCCAAAAACCAATCTAGCAAACAGTCAAGAAGGCCTTAGCCTTCAAAACAACTGATGACCCAAACTGGACAGGTCTAAAAATTAAACACTAGACTAGCAGTCATTAATATGTAAATTTTAGTGTAAGCCAGTATATGAGAAAGAGGTAGAGGAAGATCTACTTCCATTGAAAATTACCTGGAAAGAAATCTTTCTGGATTTCTTCAACAGAACCGTGCAGCGTCAGCAAAGGTCCTTTTGACGAAACGCTCAACATTTCAAATTTCTTCCTTAATTCCTTCACACCTAGATAAAAAAAAATCCATACTAATTACAAGAATTCACACTAAACTGAGCACTGCAATATTTACAAGAGAGTGCATGTTGCAGATACTGATATTGAAAAAATTATTCTTCTGGACACCATATGTACAATTTAATGTTTTTAAATATATATTGACTATTAAGCTGGTCTTTACTGAGTTTGCATTAGCCCATTCACCCCTGAACTTCTCGTAACTACCCATGAGAATCCACGTCCCTTGAACAGTTGTAAGGTACTGTCTATATTAAGTTATAGATTATTACAACAAAGTGTGCAAGATAATTCACACTTAATGTCAGATCCTGAGGGAAACAGTTAGTTTTGTTTTCCCTTGAGTCCTGATGTTTCCTGAGATGAAGTCAAGGGAAACATCAGGACTCAAGGGAGAGCCAAACTAACTGGTTTCCCGAATTGAGGGACCTGGCATTAAGTGTTTTGTTATATTTCTAAACTTTCACTTCAACAGCAACACAAGAATAACAGGAGCAAATCAAAACAGTCAACTCGGTACTTATAACAAAAAAAATTTAATTCTCAAAACCACTGAAAGAATGATGTACAAAGTACTTTCCTTATATTATCTGCATCTTTTTCCTCCACTAGCTGCTGTTTCTCTTCTGGGATAACTTTGAAAATCGTTGCTCTTTAGCCTGTGGCTTCATCCTGATTTTTGTGTTGGTGAGTTCATTCAGGAAAAAGAAAACTGGCAGTGTTTTTCCTGCCTTCGGTTAGGGATGCCACTTTCCACCATGCTTTGATCACGTCCTGTTATGTATCCCGAGTGGGGTACAATTGCTCAAATGTATCATGATCAGGATACATTTTGATTTTAGTCAAGGCCATGTGACCCAGAATCAACCAATGGCAGTCTGTGTTTAGTTGAGTGAAAGTCTAGGAATATAACAATTAGTCCTTGAATGCTGTGCCAGATACAGAGTAACTACTGGATTTGACTAGTATTGTGATCGGAGGAGTAACACCAGCAAGCAAATGTGCTCTTGGCCTTTAAATTGATTCATGTTTTCAACTAATTGTGTCACTCATCTTGCGGTCTTCAGTCGTGAAATAGTACTCTGCCTAGATATAATCATTTACCAAGCTGACACTTTCAGACAGACTCACAGGACCTCTAAGGCTAATTTCACTTGCCCACTGGGCCACCAAACTTCTATTTTTTTCACTTGCCTAAGATTAAAATTTACCTGCCTCAGGCAACAGACCTGGGTTTTTTTCCTACCCTGACTGGGGCCTTGCTTTAAGTATATACTGATGACAAATTCAGCTGCCCTTCTACTCCAAACTTTAATGAAACTCCCAAATCCAACTCTTTTTCTGTATTAAATATTCCAAGTTCACTTCAGTAAGATCTCCAACCCTTCACAGAGTACAGTAGATTTTAGTTAATATAAAAACAATGATTGCCCCTGAATGTTCAACCTGATGGACTGACCACTATTGGCCATTTTTCCCCAAGTCGCTGAAGCCACTATGGATATTATTATTTTTTTATTCTCATTCAGATAAAACACATTTTCACAAGAAAGGAGAGGTAATTGGCACTTACCCTAGTTTTATTATTATTCACTCAAAATATATTTTTGTTTCTGATTTGCTTCAATCCCTGACTAATTTGTCATGACCAACTAACATGACTACCATAATGTATTTCGTTGCGGAATAATAGCCATCCCTCAAATACACCCCTATTGGACAGAAATATTTAGTAAGCCTCCCTAAAATATTGCCTCCCCCACCCCCTTACCATCTTCTATTTATTTTATCCCCTGCCTGTCAAGTCAAAAATTGGCACCTTAGATAACAAGCAAGCTTTCAGTTACTTTATTGTTTATAATGACATTGAAAATTATCATTGAATATCAATTAAAAAAAACAAATTTGCAACACTTAAAAAGCAGATGTTCATTTCATTTATGTGATTAGGGCATGACTTCCAGTAAGCAAATTTGAAATACAGTCAACTCTCTCGTAAGTGACCACCCTTGGTGCAGGACAAAGTGGTCGCTTACGGGAGGTGGTCGTCTACGGGAAAAATCAAGAAAAAGAACTCAAATTGAACTGAGTAACGTAATTACGTAAAGTTATTATCTTACAAGCAAAAATGAGAAAAATAGAGAACTACTAATAATGTTTAACCAGAAACCCATAAGGGTTTGAAACGTGTAACTCGCGTTCAATGCTCGTGAATATTCATGTTTACCATATTTGGAAGCCTTAGTGACAGATATCCATTTTCAACAAAATGGCTGCTGCGCGATCACCATGTAGGTGTCTTAAGACAAGAGTTCTGCATTTCAAGGTTAAAAATACACGGTTAAACGACAAAAAATGGAAAGAGAAAGTTCAAAAGAATGCTCAGCTTTCTTTTTGTGGAGAAAGGGAAGCTTTTCATCTAGAAATCATCCTTCGAGGAATTCAACCTTGTTTTCTTCACGGCGGAGCCCATGGTCTGTTTTGAAATGCAACCAAGTCAGCGAAGTTTTTGCTGAATTCTCAGGTACATTTTGCACTCTATGGCCAAGACAATTACGATTTTGAAAGGGAATTTATGTATTTTTAAATGTTTCATAGACGTTTTATAAATTTTTCTCTTCTGCACTAAAGGAAAATTACCAAACGTGCCCTGATTTGAGATGGATTTTGTGTTGAATTTTGCCATGTGCTTTAATAGCCGATTTCACTTGCGTGAACGGATCCATGATCCAGATAGTGTTTTCTGAATTGCTTTAAAGGATTAACTTTTTGGACTTTGAATAAAAATTTTCAAGAAACGGCTTCTCTGTCTATTGTTTTGAGTTTGTTCATTCATAAAATTAGCCCAAAACACGATCGTGTCTACAACATCCAAGTTTAATTTAGCTTTTAAAATGCTTCTCACATTCATTACAAGCATCACTTTTTGCGAAGATGTCAGGTTCAGGTTTTGGACACTTTTCGATATGCAGCTAATGAATTTTATTTGAAAATATTTTTCACTGTTTATTCTAGACTTTTAACATAAGAATTTTAAAAGCCTATTTGTAGTATAAGTTTACTGTGTAGAGGGTCAACAAGGCATTGTTTCTTGAAGTGACAACTTCAAGAAGTTGCGAGGCCGTCAATGGGTTTCATAATGTTACGTTTGGCCCGGGTGGTAAGGCAATAATATCCTGCTCAGTGTTTCGGTAATATTCCTGGTTTCAACCTTTGAAAGCTGTCTCGGCTTTCGGGAGTTTTTCCCCCGTTTGTCGGCCATTTTTTTAAGCGGGCGCGGGAACCTAAAGGAATATTACATCATGCTGTTTATGGAGTTTGATTGGTCAGTTATGTCTCCTTCTCGTTCCAAATATGGTACTTTCGAAAATGAATAATCATGAGCATCGGACAAAGCAAACATATATGAGTTACACGTTTCAACCCCTTATGAGTTTCTGGTTTAACTCGAATAGCGCTTGGAACTGATGAAACTATGTAGATAACATTATGTATGAATGTGACAATCCACCTTTTTACATAGAGATTGTATTACAGAGATCTTTTTTGTAAGTCAACTGCTACAATCTGTCAGCAAACTTGGTCAGCACTATTCAAAAATTAACTTTTGTGACATTTGAGCAACGGTTTTCTTACAATCATAGGTGATCATGCCGGGTGGTGGCTGGAAACAGAAAACAAAAGAATATATCAAATTTCTAGCCCAAAAAGTGGTCGCAGTCGCTTTGGAAATTTAGGTAGTGGTCGCTTACGAGAGAGTTCTTGAAACAGTGTTTGAGTGAGAAACAAAAGGATTATTTGTAAAGTGGTCGCTTATGAGAAGTGGTTGCTATGAGAGAGTTGACTGTAATAGCCTTCCCTCGAATAATCGCCCCCTTTTGGTGGGAAAAAAATAATATTCAGCCTGGCTATTATTCGAGGAAATACAGGTTATTAATAATTTGGAAGATGCAAGCAATATACCGCTTTACCACTTTCAATTCAATGTCATATTTGCTTGAAAAAGAGGTTGATCTTGTGATATGTATACTTGCCAGGAAATAAGACTGCTTGCGCAGTAATTAACTTTAAAAATAAACTTCATGGCTATCCAAAGATGAAATAGGTGAATTTCTGACTTAAAGTAAATGAAGAAATCCAAGAATTTGCTTAAGATTTCGATGAATGTTATTCTCAGGAACCAAGCAAGTTTATAATTTTTGTTGAAACTTGCATCATGCATGGAACGAACATGATCACTTAGCAAGAGAGAATCATGAGTTGAGCATTTGGCTGGCAAACATGAAACTGTAATCATTTAGAAGTTGATAAACATTAAACCCATTCGACCCTAACTGCTTGTAACTGCTCATGGCATGCAGATTCTTTCCCCCCGGTACTGCTTTTGGCGTCATTACTTTTTACAGTACAATGTACGTCATAGTTTTAGACAACTTTGACATCAAACTTGCGTAGGAGAAAGAGATCTTTCAAAATATAACCAAAAAGCACAATTAAGTCAAACAAACCTGAGAGTTAATGCCAAAAAACAAAGTCCAATGAAAATCTTGTATCACTACCCCCCTGCACTTCATCTCATTTAATTCTGATTCTTAAAGTTTTCCCAAAAACGTTTACTGAAACTAAGCCTAGTAAATGCTAGCAAACCTCTCAATCAGTAGTAAAAGACTGTTTTGGACAAAATGTGCAGGGGCAAATGCATTAAAGGGAACCTCCACTTCAACAAAAAGATAACTTTAAATCACAGGAAATAACTGTTACAGTCAAGTCAATCTAAAATATTTTTAAAGAAAGCGTTTGTATCCGAAAGAAATAACTTTTAGATTCGCCTATTTTTGTTTTCAGATTTTGCGGGCGTCGCCATCTTGAATAATTGTGACGTGTAATGGTTTCCCTATTGTTATTAAACAAAAGCTCTTTGTGTCAGAACAATAGAGCAACCGTAACACGTCACAATTATTGAAGATGGCGGCGCCCGCGAAATTTGAAAGTGAAAATAAGCGATTTTAAAATTCACTTTTCCTGATATAAACACTTTTTTTAAAGACAAATTTCGAACAAATTTGTTTATCAACATAATTTTATTCGATTTAAACTTATTCTGTAGTAAGACTGGAGGTTCCCTTTAAGTGATAGCCTTGGAAACAAATGTACTCACCTTTACTTTCAACTCTGCATGCACTGCGTAGCAGTCTCTCCTCTCACTGGCTAAAGTCAAGGGGGACCATCTCTTCTCCTCCATCAGAGCCTGAAGGATTTTGCAGCTCAAAGCTTTTTGGGCATTTTGTGAAAATGCCACCCAAGTTCTTCATGCCAGCAATAAGAATCACTATAACAAAACCTGGGTTTTCGCTATCTTTGACAGGAATGAACTTTACATCCCAGTGTTCCCCCTATATTGGGGTAAAGCTCCAACTTGTTTCACTCATTTGGTTAATCATGGCTTGAAACCCACTCTCCCATTTTGCTTTGCCATCCGCTGCAATATTTTGTCCAAGAATTTCTCCTGTTTTATCGTCAATGCCAATAAGAATCATCCCTCCACTTCCATTTCCAAAGGAAGATATCTGTTCTGCAATTTTGTCTTGAGCCTTTTTATTATTGGGGTGAAATAGTCCATTCGTTGATGAGAAAGATTTTAGTTGGACTTGTTTTGATTCATGGAAATTTAGTACTTCCTTGTATGTGAATTCTTTGGGTAACAAATCCATAGGAAGGTCTGTTAAAGGAACCTCAGGCGTATGGTTTTCAAGGGAATCTCTCCTGGACAATAAATCAACAACTTTATTGTAGGGCTGACGTGGCAAAAATGCTGCATCATTGGGCAAATGCAAATTGTAATCCACTGTACAAAAATGCTCTATAGCTTTGATGAAAAGAAGAATTGTGTCTCCTTCAAGTTTTCTATCAAAGACATCATCATACGTTGAAGGCTGGATCATTGGATTCAGTTTTTGCTCTAACGTTTGCCAAAATGTATCAATTCTCTTGTTTAGATCTCCTGGTTTATACCTTGAGAAGTCATCAATTTTCATCCGCACAATGCCACCCCCTGAGTTGAGAACTGCATTAATTGGCCTCAGAACAGCATCTGCATCTTTCTTTTCCAGTGTTATTGTGCAGTGTTGCACTTTCTCAACAAATTTCCTGAAGAGAAAGAATACTGGGTAGGCACAATTAACATTTTTCACTTAATTTTCTTGTTTGGTAGACAATTTATTGTTCCAGATCATGATATGTCCTGGCTGTCCCAGATTTTCCTGGAACTGTTGGAGAAATTTACATGTATTCCTGATGAGTCAAAATCAATATGTTAAATTTTATTAAATTTCATCCATGGCCTGTGCATGTGCCCAAGCCTCTTGCATTGTCAGTTAACCAAGTAAATCTAGAAATTTGTTCAAGAGAACTCAGACAGATTGCCCTTTTCTTGGGGATGGAACTAAAGTTGGCTAGGTGGGAAGGGCACTTATACATGTTCATGTTATTTTTGGTTTTAAAAAAGAGACCAAAAGACTTCTTTGAGTAAATTGAACACAAAACTGGTGTGGTAAAGTTAAAGAGTTAATGTGACACTATCTTCTTGTACACTGTACAAGCTAATATCTAATCACCTTTAATCGCTACAATCGTGTGAGCACATTGATTTTACAAATGGATGAGTCAAGTTTATGAGTGAGTTTGTGTCGAGTCTTTGAGTCAGACATGAGTTACACCTGACTGAATAAAACATATTTGGGATAATTAATATAAACTATGCATGAATGATTACGCTTCAAGGATTTATGGTTATTATTATTTATATCAGCAAATCAAATTCAAAGTTGTTATTTAGGAAGGTTTCCATTATCCTGATCATTAGAGTTTGTTGGGCAAATAAGAAAATCCCAAGAGTACATGTCAATTTTTTCACTCTTCCCAGAAGACTATTAATAGGTCTCATCTTATGATTTTCAAGTGTACACTGGTGATGTTGCTAGTTTCTGTGACTGGAGAGATCCCTGAAGAAACATGCCAAAAGGTGAAGTTGTTGGCTAATCACCAGGAAAACTAGACACCAATAAAATAAAAACCTTTTTGGAATACATCAGTGCAAGAAGGTTGTTGTAACGTCAGTTTTTATGGAAAGAACTTTAAATTTGCAATGCTAATAAACTTACATGCTTAAATCCATTAGGTCGCAATGCCATGGTTTATAATTTGCAAGTGACAACGTTTTTTTAATCAGGAATATACAAGTTGAGTTCTGTTCCTACATGTAACTCTGCAGTGCCATTAACCCAAGAATATACTTAGGGAAAGCAAGCAGTCAACACTTATACAAAAAACTTGATCACGTTATCATCTCATTTACAGGGTACATGGGTAAGACCAGTCGTCTTCATTACTGCCTCAAGGTCTTTAGCTAACTTTCCATAGCTTATCGTATGTTTCAATCAAAACATGCTTTTACCTTTTACTTGGACCGTCTTCAGAACTCTGGGGGGAGGTACCATTGACATCCATTTTCAGAGACCCAGTTTGAGATTAGGAATAACTCTGGAAAAGTAGAGTTTGGAAAATGTTTGGTTGTGGAAGACAGACTCATAAAACCAGTCAAGTGCTTGGTTATTATAATAGTACAGTCAAACCTGTATTAAGTGGACACCGTATTAAGTGGACAGTAGCCGAAGTCCCAAAATTTATTTCCCTTATTTACTTAAAATGAAACCTTTATTAAGTGGACACCTCTATTAAGCGGACGCGGACGCGGACACCTAAAAAGTACCTGAAATGGTCATTTCTATTGTTGCCAACCTGTATTAAACGGACACTTGTAATTAACTTTCACCACCCAACGTGCTAGACACCGGAAATGCGAAAGATTGCCAGACACAAATTTTATATTTTTACATTACAAAACGTGACTTGACGAACTTATTTGATTAGTTTCACAGTACCATGTTGTTTTCTATTTCGTTTTGTTTCTATAGAGCTTGTTTCACTCATCTGAGTTCTTCAAATTTGAGTTGCAATCTATGTTTATGGTACTATCATCTTCAATAAAGAAATTAATGCAAACGTATATCGTCATTATCTCTGGGAGTATTATAAACTTTTCCACTGATCATTTGAATTGCATTTGACACCTCATATGACGTTATCTGTCGAAACCTGTATTAGGCGGACATCCTGTATTAAGCGGACACTACAGCATTCCCCGAGGGTGTCCGCTTAATACAGGTTTCACTGTATTAAACTCATCTTCCCTGGGCAGAAAACGTCCACGCATGCCCTGTCTGAGACATGTACATTATGTTTTTGGCTCAGACAACTTAAACTGTCCTAACGCACTTCTCCAAATATTGCCTAAAATTACCCTGCGAGCAAACCTTAAGGTTTCTTTCTAAAACTACTACTTCATTTACTGTTCATTCTTTCAATCGTGACAGTAATTACTTCTTACTTCCCAACTGCTCTCAAGGAATACGAAAAAAATCGTGTTTATTAATTTTTTATTGTACTCGCTTTTGACCTCAAAAAACCGCGGAAATCAATCGTATTTGTTCGATTAGCTTGGTTTTATTCGTTTCATTGAGTCCGAATTATTGGTTCGCTAGTCGAACTGATGGACCAGGACCGGATAGACAAAGAGTTGTTCGATTTTGTTTGCCGAGCTTGTGTTCCATTAGATCGATTGATTTGATAATCGAACTCACAGAAAAAGTGTTCTTCGATTATGTTAGACTGCCTAACTCAAGCGAACTTTAAAAACTTTAATAATCCATGGATTGAGTTCGAATACCGAACGTTTAATAATTTGACTTGCGCGCCATTTTTTGATTAAAACCGAAATTAAACTTACTTAAAAACTGCTTAAGACTTTAAAGGTAAATTAAATTCCAAAACCATCGAAGTTTCGATTAAAATTTCATACTCGCCGATTATATTTTGACCCATAATTTGCTGTATATTTTATATCGGTTCGTGTTTAGTTGCCCTCAAGCCCTAGCAGTGGCTTGCCAGTAGTGTCAAAGTTTCTGACTATTCCAAGCTGACCACTAACAAATTTAGAACAAAAACATCTAAAATACTGCAAAAAGGTGACTGCCCAATTGGAACAAAAATAAATTACAATGATCTCACCTTAAAACCCAGGATCACATCAGTAGAACAGCAAAGCATCCATCATGGCCCCTCTTCTCTTCGAAAAGCCCGCGTCTTTACTTTGCGCGCATCTGTTGCTGCTCATGATGCTTGATGACGTCAGATCCTCCCTTCGCTCCCTTTCCTCACAGGTCACAGGAACCCCAAGAACAACAGTAAAAATCGTTGTTGCGTAGCAGAAATATTTTAAAATATGTAGATTTAGCCAGGGCTAAAAGCGAAACTCTGGTTAACAATACTTGTCAACAAAAAAAATTAAATCGTGTAATGCCAAATGGGGAGGGTAATGAAAATGGCATCAAGATCAATAGATCTAATTAGCAAAAAAAAAAAAAAATTGCACGTGCAGCACACTTTTTGTCTTTGCCTTTGTTTTGCACAACTACATACATCGCTGTTTTGTAGGACTAAAACGTCAAACCTCTTCGTTACACATTATTTTTATGGAGGAATTGTCGTATGTGCTTACCAATATTTTGTCTCCTGTGTTCATGTTCGCTTTTATTTTTCACTGCCGCTCATTTTCACCTTGCTGGCCTCTAGCATTTCTCTTTGTCTCACAGCCGCTTTGAATTTCATGTATTTCTTTCTACAAAATTTGTCTCTTTTCAATCACTCGCTCTAGCTCTTTCTCCGTTATCCACGTGAGTGTAAACATAAAAAAAAACATCGAAAAAGACAAGACTTTGTTGTTGTTTTTCTTTGTAAAAGTCCGGGCGGCCATGCGATTTCTTTCCAAATAAAACCTTGAGTTGCATTTGGGTTGCCATACCTGTCGACTGAATTATGTTACATTGGTATTCCTGTGGTGCGGAGGGACGGTCGGCCGGTCGGTGTACGGTCACGTGATTACCAAATTTTCTCGGATGGGTAGTTTACCACATTTTTTTACCCATGGTGCTCCCCTGCGCGCGCTTTGCGCGCGAGAGCTCCGCTTTAAGGGTTTGTATGGAATTTCAGCGAAATCATTATCAACTGGAAACAATATCAAAACAGGTTGCCGCGATTAATCATCAACGCGCCATGCGGATCACATTTTATTACCATAATATTCTTGACTTTTTCATCATACGCTGAAAAAAACTGGCCGTTGTCGATAGGTTATTTCAGCACTCAGGGAGAAGCTTTAGTGGCCGTTGCCTTTGTGGTGAGGCGGCCGTTGTAGGAGGTTTAAATGTACTGTCCGCCGGGACAAAGGTCACGACGCGGGAACTCTTAGCCTCTCACGTGGACGTTCTGGGTGTTCCGGGGTCACAAAAACCGAACCAACTAACAATTAAACAAACAAAACAAAAACAAAAGAGAAAGAAACGACTGAAATAGCCGCCGTTTGTAAGGGTTAGAGGAGGACGGAAAAAGGAAGGGGGGTTGGGAAGAAAGGGAAAGGGCTTTATTTCCCCTTTACCTTTTCTCCCATCCTCCTGCCCCGTTTTGCCTGCAGCTGCTGCGCATGTCAAGGTCAAACCATAAACAGTTTCATTAAAAGAGAATAATTCTTATTCTTTCTTGGTATCATGTAGGCAGAATCAAAAGTCAAGTCCAATTATTTACAGAGAGGAGATCTAGAGCCCACGGGAAAATTTATATTCTCTGGTTTCAATGTTGGAGTCATGGTGGCTGATTGCACCTCAACTTCGCAAACAGTAGGTCCGGGTTCAAGTCTTGCCAACACTTTGTCTCCTTAGACAAGGAACTACACTCGACTTTGTCTCTCTACATCCAGGGTTTGATAATTAAGTTTTACACAGGGAGGCTCCGCCGGAGGTCCGACCCCTTACCCTTTTTAATTATACAGTATAACATTTTTGACAGAAAAATTACCACTATTGATACATGGTCCCTCTCAAATACGTTGGGAACGTTGCATCCTTTTAACTGGTGTAAATGACCTTTCTAAAATATGAATAAATCACAAACCCGGAGAACGTTTTCTCGACTTTTTGAAAGCCATGAAATGAGTCCGTTAGCCCTTTTGGACCTTTTTTTAAGGCCCAAATTGGCAAAGGAAACCGGTCGTTTCGATACGAACTCAAGCGGTGAAATTCGCAAATATTTTGATCAGTTCAAGTATAGTTTGCGCGTGAACAAGAAAAACTTTTTGAGTGAGTATTCATCCGGCGTTGTTTAAGCCAAGTACGTGAAACTGTTTACAACTCAATTGAATAAACGACTTTGTATAGAAACGACCGTAAACCGACCGAAATGACAGATTTCTCTGCCCTTTTATACACTTCAGCAAGTGAAATCTCTACCCTTTCATACACCTGAAGCCTGAAAAAGGTCATACCCTTTTCGTACGGGGCCATTAAAGGAAGTATCCTCCAGGGCCATATCCAGGACCATATCCAGGGGCAGTACTCTTGGGTGCTTCATGCTACAGAAACCGAGTTTAGCTCCGCTTTGGTTCTTCTGCACCATTACCTACCTTACCTAGAAAAAAGCTATTTTTTAAAATCTCAATTGTCTTAAATAAACCAGATGTTATTTCCACTTTAATTTTTCCTTCCAAAAAGAAACAAAATGACTTACTATTCTTAAACGCAACTGGTGTTGCTAATTTTCCTTTAGATATATTTATTTATCAACTTATAAAAAGGGTTTTAAAAGACCACCTTAATTCTGACTAGCTACTAGTATAAAATCAAAATCATTTGAAATAAAAACTTGAGCACAACATATAGATGTTGATCATTACTAAAGTCAATTCTTAATCAACCAGGAGGGTCATGAGAATTAAAGATCAGGGTCGGCCAGGGGTTTGGGGTATACGGTATACAGGGGCTTTCTAAATCGGGTATACGGTATCTTGCAGCTTAAACACGGGTGTTCGGTATATCACTTTCTTTGAATTTCAGGTATAAAGTATACCTGGGTATAATTTTGGGTATATTTGGATGAATTTTAGGTATTTTTGGGTATTTTGGCGAATTTTTTTCGGGTATACTGGTATACCACTATCCCCCCTGGCCGACCCTGAAAGATAGGACCATCGATCCAGGATTACTTCTCAAAATATTTTTAAAGTCTTCAAATGGGATAGAAAGGAGAAATTATCTATTTATATTTGTGATATAAAAGTTAAGAAAAAAAAGCACATGATGGGCGCGATCCATTCAACCAAAATTTCCAGGAATTTCTGTCCAAAACTCAATGGATAGGTTCGGTCCAGCCGGAAAAGTTTCGAAAACACTGGTCCACCTTTTGAGGTGGACCACTTTTCCCGGTCGGACCGGTCTGAATTTTGATTGAATGGACCGCACCCGATGTTACTACGGGGTTTTATATTGATCCAGACCGTGAAAGAAATTTAAGTTTGGTTCTTCTGATACTAAGCCGAAAAACGACAAATCGATAATCTAACGAAAAGCAGTGGTGGTGGTCTGTTTACAATGTTTTACTCGAAATTTCAATAAATAATCAATAACTTATTTAATTATATTCTGATGTGCTTTTGATTTCCTAGCGAATAAAACAGCATTACAGCTAGATCTTCACTAACGTTCGCTAGAGACCATACAGAGATTGACAAGAAGCGGCTGTATTCGCAGGCAATTCAGTAACTAGTCACGAAGGCTCGATTAATTTTGCTGAAACTATTCAGCTTTTTTCACGACTTAACATGGCGGTTCCGTAAATCCCGTCTAGCATCATCATTAGAGAGCTTTAGATTCTTAGACGAGGACGACTACGAGTACGAGACTTCTCAATACTGAGTACTGCTCACGAGTGAACCAGCGTCATTTTGGCGGGAAAACGAGATAGTCGTCGTCAATCTACTACGAGTTTTAGCGAGAATGTCGTAGTGGCGGGAACAAGTTATCAAATGTAAGAAGATTTATCATTCTGCTATCGTTAGAGGGCTTAAACCTCCTTCAGTATAAATAACCGTACTAAATTTTTAGGTGAAAAAAAGTAAAATTAAGCTTTCCGGGGTATCTTTTTTTTTGAGGAACACGCGCAACAACTTGCGTTAAATCCCGTACTCGTACTCTTTCTCGTCCTCAAATCTAAAGCTCTCTATTTTCAGTCCTCGTACGACAAAGGCTTGTTGACGTCATAATCGTGAACAAAAAAAACCCAGCAAAGTCCCTATAACTCGTCTTAACTGCAGAATGTTCTTAAACCAAGTAAGTTTTTGTCAAAGAGATGACAAGTCGCAACAAAAGCACTGCAGCTATCAATGAAAATCGTTTATGCTACATCGCTTTCAGAACGGCTCACAGTGCTGCGAGCATGCTCTTTACAAGCCGAATCGTCATCGGTCACCGTTTGGCATGATTCATGGTCGTTACTGAGTTCGTAAATAAACTCTTATCTGTAACCCATGCGCAGTAGGTCACCATCCAAGCTAACTTGTGTGCGATCTTTTCTGTCTTCGTTCGCATTTTGGACACACTCCAGATTTGAAACATATTCTGCAAAAGACAAAAATATCAAATAAATATCGGAGGATTTGTAACTCGCATAATACAGGATCTTTACGGCCAGCCATCTTCAACAAAAAAATGTACTTACTTGTGGAACACGGTCCTGCATTCCTTACACTGTGCTGCGTGTGGATCAAACGCAAAAATGATTTCGTCTTTGCCGCAAAATTCGCAGACAAAACCCTTCGCTTGACAAAGCTATTAAAGTAAATCAATCAATCAGTCAATAAAATAAATATATCGATCAAACGATCAATCGGTCAATCAATCGATAAAACGAGAAGGCCCACGGATCACGCTACGATCAAGAAAGCTTAACTACAGTAAAAAGTTTAATCTAAGAACCATCAATACTCTGTTGAGTGCGATTTTCCGGTAGTTCTAATGAGTTGTAATAGTGGTCCTAAGATTACTTGTTGAGCTGAAATGATCTTTAAAGTCACTGAAACTGAACGGTAGACACACAGTTGATAATATGAAAGTCCTGACGATAGTTTTCATTGGTCATGTCAGGTATAAAGCACGCCGATATTGGCTAAGGTTTGTAAGCAGCTACTTACGGCAGGGAACAACTACCGTAAATTATCTCTCTCAAATAAACGCCTCTCCTCAATTAAGCGCCCCCTCTTACAATTTTAAGTTTTGTAGTAGACGCCCCTCTAAAATAAACGCCCCCGGTCTAATAAAAGCCCTCGTTGAATACTGCTTCAACTGAAAATACTACGAAATAGAGCAAAATCACTTATTACAATTTATTCAGTTTTTTGCCTGATTGATAAAAGTTTGTGCATTGCCTCTAGTTAAACTTCGGGTTCAAAGTCTGAATTCTGACATTGACATCAAAACGGGCTACACGCCTAGGTGGATGGACTGAGTAGTTGGCTGCTTATATACTGTGGTGATATAACAATAATTGTTCGCCCAAAACATATACGTTTTGATGAGCCTGTTACGTTTATCAGAATAAACGCCTCTTATCGATTACGCTCCTTAAATTAACTAGACGTCCGGAACGTCTACTAGATAATTTACGGTATTCGACAACTTGACTGACAACAAACTAATCAAAATTGAAGTATCATTTCAAGGAGCTCCTAACAATTAGATTTAAGTATCTTACATATTAAATAGTAACAATAAACCTGAACTCTACCGAGAACTTCTGCTCAGAAGTTGTCGAAAAACCAAAAGTCAATCGTTGTAAGCGTGGAGAGCAGACCGCCTCCAGACCGCACTACCAACTACCACTGGGTTACGCTATTTAAGAAAAACATCATTTTTGTTCTTACCTGACAGTCAGACTTGATGTGTGTGAGGAAGAGAGAGTGGATTTTCGTAAGGAAAGGTAAAAGCGAGCCTGAGTTTACATCAATAAGATCTTGAAGAGAGTACATACTGGAGCTGTCCACAAAGTGTTGTCTATCCTTTAACTAAGAAGACAAATAAGACTACGTTAATTGTGATAGAAAGTATTAACGCCGACAATGATTACAAAAATGATAATGATGATACGATGACGGTGACCATGACGACGACGGCCACGATGATAATCATGATGGTGGTGATGATGATAATGATGATGATGGTAGGAACAGTGTTTACGTTAGTAATGCTGTTAGCAAATACCCATCCTGATAAGCCCTAGATGTCGATTTAGAAAAGTGCATATTTTTGTTCATTTCCTCCAGGACTAAAGGCTCATTCAAAAAGGCGGGGCTTATTAAAAAGGTACGGTAACCAGCCAGATAAATTACTTTGTCAGTCACTTTCTACTAAACCAAACTAAATTACTCTAGGAGCAGTTTTCTGAGGTATTTCTCCTTTCTCTGTAGTTTTGCCTCTCGGTGCGTGAAAGTTTTTGCCAAATACCCCCAACAATAACAGAACCAATAACAAAAGAACTTTCATGACGCGTACATACCTGTAATAACAACTTGCTTTCTAAGGCTTCCCGGCAGGTAACAAAGTATTTTTTCATTATAAGAATCTCTTCTCTAAGACGCTATAGGCAACAAAAAAAAGATTAAGATTCTTTTTCCTCATTTTAGATGCAGCTCAGAAAATCTCTATCAATTTAAGGAGGATTTTAATAGTAATAACTCTAGCAATCTTTGATTGCAAGCATGAGTAGCGATACTGGGGTCTGAAGCCTCCAAGTAACATCCTTTAGCCAGACCAGTTGTTAGTGAGATCTAGTTAGTGGACACTGGTGATCAATCCTTTAGTTATTGTTCCTAGTACCCTTGTAACATAAGAGAGTTTTAGCAACGACGACGGCGCTGGCCACGAAGATGCCAAAAAAAGCACCTGCGCATCACACATTTTGGTACATTTTTGGCCGTCATTGTACGACTACGACTTGAAATTATCTACTGTGACGGGTTAGGGAGGAGTTATAAACGTGACGAGGAATTGATTTTTCCCTCTCTAAACTCCAGTGTACTTCCGTGGGTGAATTCACTCCAAGAAATTTAGAATTTGACATATTATGCAGGTTGTAACAATCGCGACGAAGTTTGAAAGAGCGCAGATTCATTTTACTAGTGACGTTTTTGCTGCCGACATTGCCAAAAACTTTTGAACCTTGTCACCGGTATGGTATAGGAACCAAAGCCAATATTTACCTTTATTTCTCTAAGCTCCACGACGAATTTGAACAGAGATGGGTTGAGCCTTTCAATCTTGAGGAGTGGTCTTCCAGTCATGAGAGCTAGTAACTGTTTAGACTGTCTCGACACCTGAGTCGTACAAAAATACAGAAAGTTTTACTGCTAATTGTTTGTGGTAAAAGAGAAGAAATTTGTGAACTCTGATGACACGAGCCCTTTTCTAACGAACACCCCTCCATAAAGGACTTCAGTGTGGTTCTTACAACAAATATTTTCGATACACCTTATCGTCTGAAGAAGATTAACACCTGAAAAGTGTAACTCCCCTGTCAGGGCTTTTCAGTAACTATTTGCCCCATCAGTGAACTAATCATATGACCTTGAACGAAGTCTCTAACTAAAATGTACAAACTTGAGCCCGGTTCAAAGGTCGCATTTCATCACATGCGCCGAGTCAGATGTCGACTCCTTCGTAGCCGTTATTAGGGTCATCACGCAACACTCCTTCCAACTAAAGAGCGTTGCGTGACGACCCTAACAACGGCTGCGAAAGCTAAATCTAAGGCAAATGAGCAAGAACAAAAGATTTTTCATATTAACATTAAATTCGGCCGGTATATGTGAAATGTGTACGTTTGAACCGGCCAAACAAATACAAATACCAGAAACCACTCGGTTTAAGCCAAGAATATACAGCAGAGCGAGTGAATGGTCCTTCATAGATTTTTTGAAAGCTTCAAACGAGAAACATTGTGTTAAATTAAAATTGTGATCCAAATTGTTACAAATGTTAACCACTCACTGTCCAGTAGCCCATAAATACAGTGGTATAATAATTAAATGACGGTAATCAGTACCTTATAAAGGCTGAAGTCCCAGTTGTGAACGACTCTGGCGGGAATCACAACAAGATCGTTCCAATGGCATTCCTCGCAGTAATGCTGACCACTGTAATCACAGAGCCGAGCTTCAGAGCGTTCACCTCCTTCAAAAGATAAAAAAAACCCTGCATTACTAGACCTTTCATTGAGAAAAGCAACGCAGGCGTTTACAGACAGGGAGGGAGAGGTGTACTAGATTTTGCTTCCTTATTTTACGTCGGTAGCGCGAAGTAGTCACCGTCTGACTAACAAATCTAGGGCCAACGGTACGCTCACTTGTCCCCCACCCCTCCCGCCCTCCTTTCCATTACTGATCCGTTTTACGGTAATTCAAAGCTACTTAAAGCTACACGGAAGTAGAAATGGCGCACTATGAATAATACATGTTGTTAAAAATGTTGATTTTAGGTCACACCGTGCATCTCTAAAACAGGGTCGCACAATGAACAACCATGCCAATCCTTGTTCTAAGTCACATAAGGCAGGCAAGGGGAACGGGGAAGACAGGCACGCCCGAATGATCCTACTTCCTTCCCTCTCCTCGCCGGGGAGAGGGGATTAAGTTCAGTCTTGTACAGTCTTGGTCTGGGTCAAAGGGTTTGGGGACACTTAACTTTTCTCTCGTCTTTTTGGTACTGAATTTACAAGTAACCGACACTACTCTCATAAGTGGCCTTACCAAAATTTATTCCTCAACTCCCTTTTAACACTTAAACAATATTTAACTCCATATCCTGCTAACGATGGATGAGAGGGCTAAATGAATGCGTGAATGACAATTTCCGCATGAGCAATAAGACCACATTTTGCATCTCACTTCCCCACTGACGCAACATCACAGTTTCTTAAGAAACTCACCCCTTCGTTTACCCAGTTAGTTGCTCATACTCACTTGTCAGTCCTATCTGCTTCCTACACTCAGCGCATTTATACTGCTGTGACGATAATCCTGTTTCTGGACAAATACTCAAATTGTACGTGGTGACTGACACCTGCCAAGAAAAGCGCCATGAGAGACAATACACTTTAAATATTATTAATTTAAAACCTTGGTCCATTTCTAACTTGGGCAAATTTCTCCGCTGATTCTTCATAACCGGCAAGCGTTTTTTTTTTACCAAACTTAGAAGACGTTCGTCACACGTATCAAAACAATTGTTGGATTCGGCTTTCGAATGATCTGAAGAACTTAAGCAGATAGGTTGAAATTTCCAAAGCCAATTTTGCCCTTACCTTTCTACTAGCACAGGGTCGACGAATCAGCTCCAAACAGCGCCTATGACTGCGGTAACTACAAGCTATTAACAGAAAAAAAATATATTATCCAATACCGATTTTGAAATATTTTTTTCTCGGACTGAAACAACTATTTTGCAAAATTCGCCTCTTTAAAGACGAAAAGGAATCTGGGCTGAGTTTTTTTTCGCAAAGAGTTCTGGGACTGTTACTTGGGACAGGGTAAAAAAATTACCAATAGAGAGATTATTGTCCACGTGACCAAGTTTTCCTTTGAGTTTCCGTTTAGTCTTTATTGTTTCTACACAAAAATAAGTAGTTTTATGCCAGTTTTAACCATAGGAATCGTTCGGGACTGTTTTTATCTGCTTATTTTCTATTCTGAGATATCAGCAAGTTGAGTCTGACATTTGCCGTTTGCGGTAAACGTGAATCTTAATCTCTCTAATGGCTGACCGGCGCGTCCCATGTAACTATCCCAGAAACAATTGTAAGGCGCATTTCAGCTCCATTTCCCTTTTCGTTTCTAAAGTGGCGAATTATGGACTAATCAGTACCGTTGCACGTAAATAGCGATTGCCACATCCAAATTGTTTTTCCGCATTTATCGCAGCTCAACTTCTTCCCTCGTTCCTCTTCCTTTGTAAACGTATGTCCGAGTACTTTTCGTGCCTTTGAGTCACCCTCTGATTTCGAATCCTGAAAGAAAAAAAAAACAGGTGTAGAAGGAGAGGTGATATTGAATAGTTCAGCAAATATCACCTACACCCTTATTAAAAAAGTCGTGCGAGTAAAAACTTAACGGTTGCAAATCCAGAAGACCTTCTGCGGGTTTTGCATTTGGGTTGTCTGCCAGTGCAATATCCTATAACTCGACTAGGTAAATAGAAGCTTTACGGTCCATGGTTACCTGGTCTGCGAGGCAGGTATTCGAAAGGGAGAGAAAAGCGAGAATTCGGATGCGCAAGGGAGGAGTGCCCCTTTCTCTTTTCGTATCAAAACCTGCCTCGCAAGCAAATGGACACCCAAAAGGCTTTGCGCACAGCTCACTCTTCGTAATCGGAATCAACCTCGGTGGTTTCCTCTTGAAATTTCTTTTGAATAAATAAATGAACACAACGAGATTTTAATTTCAGCTTCAATCTGGCTGGTTCCCTTCTACTAGTAGGGGTTACTAATCCTGTTTTATTTCGGTTGTTTTTTTAACTGTTTTGCCTATAGTTTTTAACCCTTGCTTACTTATACCTTTTTAGTGGTTTTTTAGACTCATCTGGTGCAGGTTCCTCGCAAAAAGCCACAACTGGGCCCTCAAAGAAGTGCTCCAGTTAGAATGCTGGACACGAACACTTAATTCGTGCCCAGGGTTCTCTCTCAGGGCAGGGTCGAGATTGCTCTGATACAAAAGTACTTCTAGAGCAAGAGAATTTCTTTTCGCATGCCACTGCAAATATTTTCCTCTTGACTCACCCCCTCAATCACTCAAAGAACCTTATATGATAAAAACTGAATGAACAAAACACAGCAAAAATGCCCTTTTTGTAGAGCCGTGCTCTCTAAGAGGATACAGAACCGTAAAAAGGACAAAAATAGTTTCCTATCAAGTATGGCAGTATTTTTACACAGGGCTAGATTCACTTTATTCCATTTTAAGACTAGCTAGACACGTTTAATAGCGCTTCACCATTAGATCGCGAGAAAAGTATATCATACATCGACAAACCTGAGTTTCCTGAAGTTTGAGCCTGAGCTGAACCAATTTGGTGATGAGTTTCCGTTTCTCCTCCGAGTCGTCGGAAGTTGCGTTGATGAGGTCTTTACAGGCATTTATCGCATGCCGCAGTTCTTCTGTAGTAGACACACCCATAAAGGACTAACAAAAAAGATACATATCGATGTGGGAGACATACCTAAACATACATTATAGTGGCACAATTCGTAACTAGAATGATATAGAAAATTGAATTGACGAAAACGCCAGTTCAAGAATGGGATTTGCCATGGTGAATTATGCAAAAAAGGTAAAGTAAAGTTACGTAACGATTTGTCCAAACATAGAAGTTTCGATTTCTCGACTGTGACACTGAGGAATATAAGGAGTACAAAAGAAAAAAAGATTGATATTTTGAAAAAGTAAATAAGAAACAAAGCTTGATTGATATAGAGCCTTGGACACTGAATTTGAACTGTAGTGACAAAAAAGTACAGACAAAGCATTGACACGATGGTTTTGAAATAAATTCACCATTTCGGACTTCAGTATACCGATTTTTTTCTGACTTGTCACGCTTAAAACATGGTTCGAGTTATCGGGGGTAACCTTATAGAGAAATAATTTGAAGGGAAACAAAAATTACTTCGAGTTAGCGGGAGGTTCGAGTCACTGAGGGTTCGAGTTACCGAGGGTAAAATTACTTTAAATGTATGAAGGAAATCCAGGGCGGGAAATCGACTATGGTTCAAGTTGGCGCGAGGTTCGAGTTATCAGGAGTCAGCTGTATATATAATATTTTACAGGCTCACCTCTGGTGGAGAGAAATGATCCTCTTCTAATCCAATCAGCTCATCGAACATCTCAAATTCACTAAACTGACTCTCGCTACCAGGAGAGCCAATCGACAAATCCGCCTTGGAGCTCTTGCGACTGGAGAAACTATTTCTTCCCGGCCACGAACCAGGAGTAGAGCTAATCGTAAAGGTTCTGTGCATTGAATCCAAAGTACTGTTTCTGCTACTTCTCTGCGAGCCCGACCCGTTAAAACTGCCCGAACTCTCGCTTCGTGAGCGCGTATCATAGCTTTTGTGAATTCCCGGTACAATGTTTAAGTCTTCGCCTTCGTAGCTAGCATTAAATTCAGCAGACATGCCTCGCTCTCTTTCAATTTGCCAAATACTATCGACTTTCTTTGGTGTGCCACATTCGAAAGTAGCCAATGCAGCATAATACTCTGGTGTTTCGGGTTCATTAGCTATAACTGTATCTGTGTCCTTTGGAGAAGTACTTACAGTCTCAACTTCTCCCTCGTCTTCAAAGGGATTTTGCGATGAAGACTGATTATCCATTTCTGGTGAAGTAATAATTGACGTTCTCTCATCAATGTCTCCCTGTCTCTCAGAATGTTCATTAGAGGAATGATTCCCGTCAATCACTTCCTCAGGTTTTAAAGCAAGCTCTTCTTTAATCAAATCACTCTCGTCGTTACTTCCTTCGTCAACACTTTTATTGCCATCTATTATTTTCTCTTCACAAGGGACATTATTCAAAGAAACTTCCGGCTCTTTATCAGACCCATTGACAAGTGGGAAAGTCTCGTTCGAGCCAGCAACGAAACTAGTTTGTTCAAATTTATCCGTTGAAGACTGATGCAGAACTGTTTCAGCAACTGGTAATTCCATTGTTAAAGAAATTTCAGAAATATTATCTCCTGCAAGATCCACATCACCAGATGAATCATTCACAGGTTTTCTCTCTTCCGAATTTTGGTCATCATCCACAATTACACCAGAGATCATTTCACTGTGATTACTAGAACTGCCTGAGTCCAATCCTCTATGAATATCAATTGCTTTGTTAATAAAATCCGATTCTTCAAAATCTTCACTCTCGGCAATCATTGCCACTTCTGCCTTTTTTCTCTTCTTCTTTTTCTTTCCTGTTCCTTCGGTTGCGACGTTTCTTGCTCCCTGAGCGTACAAATGCACAGAATGTTCTTGTCCATTCCAGCTGCTAGAAGGTGATCCATAACCATTTACCAGGCTGGATCTTACAGGAAGATGAGTGATTCCAGCACCTGAAAACCAACAAGTTACGCTAGAGTTCAAAATATTTATAAGATAAATCGGCGACAAAATTAGTTGATACACTTTGCCCTGAGAGAGAAAGAGAAAGCGTTCAGAGCGTTTTACCGACTTCAAAAAGGGAAACAAAGCTTTTCCTCCCCCACCGTCCTTGAAATATTGGCTGCGGTCACATCTACGACGTAACTAAAGTTAGTGTCAAGTTACGTGACGTCATACCTAACTGTAGTTAGTGCTTTCGGTCGACATTGCGGTCACACCAAGCAGTTAACAACAGCTAGTTCTAATTAGCCTATGTAAATTTTTTGTTTGTTGTTTTTGGTTTCCCCCTCGCTTCACGCTTGGTTTTTATTTTGCATATTTATATATGCTCGTCTCGCACGAGCAAAAAGAAGTGTCACATTCTGATTGGTTGTTTGTTTATAAACTTAAGAACCCACAAACCCTGCTTGGTGTAACTATAGTTAGTCCGTATTGTTTTGGATCACCGAGGCGTAAATTTTCTAACTATAGTTAGAGCGAACAGAGAAGCGGTCACATTACCGAAATAGCTAACTATAGTTACCCCCGTCTTAACTATGGTTAGTGTAGCTGTTCGAACTACCTGTAGGAAACAACAAACACCCCAACGTTGAATGGAGGGGAGGGGGAGGGGTGTGGATTGTTTTGTTATGTTACCCCATTTCAGGACACTACCGTGTAGCATGAAAATTTTGCGGGAGTTTTATTTTGCGGATTGGCGATTTTTTGTGGTTTGCGGAACAAATTTTTGCGGTTCGAGATGACTGAAATTTCTGGTGGGAACTAATTTTTGCGATTCTCTGTTCAAGTAGCAGAATATTTAAGTAGAAGAAACCTTAATGTGGTATTTTCAACTTTTATTTTACGGTATGTTGAGTCAAAGTTCACTCTACTTACATAATTATTTAATGGAGAATAATACAGTAATCACTGTAATATCTTACTGCACAAAGGGACTGAATAACAGCAAAACAAAACAAAAGCCTATCCCTACCATACACAACAAGTCCATTAAAAGCAGAGTTTTTAATTTGACTGAAGGGAGTTAATTTTTGCGGCGTTTTATTTTGCGGGTTTTTTTTTCTGTGGGAACTAATTTTTGCGGATCGAAGTCAACCCGCAAAATTCGCAAAAATTAGAACCCGCAAAATTTTCATGCTACACGGTATCTCAACAAATTTGACGGCTAACACGGCGGATTTTTTTTCCGGATTCATAAACGTGTGCGAATTCATTACGTTTACGGTAATCCGATCCACAAACGTTTACATAGATCAATTAATTCGAGAAAATTTATTTGTGGAAATAAAGTATTCCCTTTCGATTCTCGATTTAAATTATCTGGACACACAAGTGTAGTAGCCAACAAGTATGCAGCATTTGGCTCATCTTGTCTGTTCACAGAATCAGCCATATAATGGAATCATATTTCAAATTGACTTAGTTTTCAAAATAGTCATTGTCTCTGAGAATGAGTGCTTCATATACATTGCAAGAATGCATCCTAAAACTATCACCAGACTCCAACTAACCATGCTCAAATTCAACAATGGCTGTTGCCATGGAAACTTACCTAAGCTAGCAATAATTGGAGCGGCTGCTTCAATGTCTAGAGATCTCCTAGAACTGCTTGTCAGAGAACTGGAAAATATTTAATAAGTGGGAAAAAATATTAATCTTACTTGGTATAGCAACAAATAGTTTAAATATCATCGCATAGTACTGTGTAGTCACGGCTGTCAAGTGAGTCAATTCCTCTTGGTAATAATACAAAGCTTATTAACTTGGTTAAGGAAATAATTTTTTTTACAGCTGATATGCTCTATGCTATTATAGGTTATCATTTATTTTTCTTTTCTTTCATTAGAATCACTAATTCTTGGCAAGGACACTGCAACAGTATAAAGGTTGTTGGAGATTTGGACCCATGTTGGTCCCCTCATCTGATTAACCCTTTAAGCCCCAATATCCACATACAAATTCTCCAAACTGATCTCTATACATTTCCTTTAAGAATTAGTTAAGAGAATTTGATAAAAGATCAAAGTATTTTCTCCTAAGTGATCATTTAATTGATTCTCATAACCTCATCTCATGATAATGTATGGGTATCGTTAGGAGAAAATTGCTGTTGGTCACTATTGGGACTTAAAGGGTTAAAGACATGATGTAGACCATGATGGTGGACAAAAAACTCACCCCCAGTCCATGGACTACGCCTTTGGACTTTCCTAAAGTGGACTATGCTGCTGCAGTATAGTAATTAGGGTTAGGAAACTGAGTGAATCAAGTTCAGGTCAGTTTTCCAAGTATGATGACCCTAAATAGAACTTGATTCACACAGTTTCCTAACCCTAATCACTAAACTTCAGTGGCGTAGTCCTTTTTAGGGTTGTCCAGATGGGTAGCCCTTGGGGATAGTCCATGGACTTGGGGGTCAGCATTTTGTCCACCTCCTGTAGACCACATCACTGGGGTCTACATGTGATTAATGGATCAATTTAGGTTTTGGAGAAATTGCCCACCTACCCCTCCCCTAAGCACTGTTTTGCTCTGAGTGAGAAGTAAGTTAGTGTTGGCTTAGGGGAGGGGTAGGTGGGCAGTTTCTCATTAACCTAAATTGATCCTGATTAATATGATGCTTTTTGGGACTTTTTTGGAACTGGAAAGATATACACCAGATCTTTCAAATTCACTTTTATCACAATCCTTTGTTGGTATGAACAGAGTAAAATAAATAAGGATTATGTAACACTTTGATAAATAAGTTTTGAATAAGTGTGCACCAACAAGCCCCAAAATTTTTATTAGTAAATTACTCTTTCAGAATATATTCAATTACATGCTAAATTAACGTTTAATACTACATTGTAAGTCGGTTAGTCCAGAAAATTAATATTATTTTGAAATTCAATGAGTGGCGAGGCTCTCTTTCAAGTTAACAGAATTTCTTGTTGATCATCCTTAGATCTTCGTTTTGTAACAGAATTTCTGGAGAGTCCTTTCAATACATTTTTTCACAAAGAAGTAGTTTCTGCCAATTCCGTACTCAAGAAGCAACATCCTATCAGGATTCTTTCTAGTTTTAATGCTTATTCATATGTTGCAGGGAAGCTTACTTAGCAAAAATGAAATTCATTCATGCAGCTGTGTTGCACAAAAGTATAAAGAAAAACACAACGGAAGCAAACTTACATGTCAAAATCCAAGTGAGATATTCCATAAGCTATCAACTTTTCTGTTTTCTCAGCCTTTTCTTTGTCACAGAGGAATGCATGTGGATGGTAGAATTCTCTACAGCAAGCAACAAAGTCATTATTATACGAGATATAAACCTTAGTTACACAAACACTAGCAACAGCTGGTGGCCCACAAATATGTAAATACCATTTACATGTTTTTGTCAATATTTTCTGAGTCCTTATTAGAATATGCTATAAAAATTTTCAAAGGATTACTTGCAGAAAAATTATGACTGGGTGTTGGTTGCAACTAAAATACATTTCAATAATACACTGTATAACCTTAATACTGCAACACAGGGAAATAGCTCTCACAAGCCCACATCTGCTTTTCAAATTGATTTTTGTCTGTCTTGTACAAGTGTTGTTATTTGATGCTTCAGTGAAAAAATTATACTAAAGTCACCTGCAAACATTTCTTTAAAATGAAAAGATGTTTCCTGGGTGACAAAAGTGATTTCTCACTTCTAATAATTATTTTCTTTCCGTACCATCAGTTGATATATTCTTTATGTGACAATAACTTCTAAGAACATTTGTTTAAACTGTTATTATTATTATTATTATTATTATTATTATGAACATATTAGGAGTCAACAAATAGTGGAAAACAATAATATTAATTTATATTACTTATGTCTAAAACTGTGAAAAACAGCAAGTTTTTCAATGTGAATTTATTGTGTTTAGATACTGTAAATCCTCTTTAAAATCCCCAGGGGGGGCTTATTTTTTTTCAAACACATTTCAAGGGCTTATTTAATTTAGCGAAGATGTTGGTCTCAGTTCTCAATCAAGAACTAGAATGCAAAGTGGAAAAGCTCAAGTATGAGAAGTTGGAGGTCATACAGACAAAGATCAAAAACAAATCTGAACTTCCAACATGTGAATAAACCACCATGGATCAGTCCAAATGAAGTTTTACAATCATGATTAATACAATCTATCATGAAAACTAATGACGGGGAGTGAGGGAGGGGGGGGTTATTAACTTTCTTCCCCTGAGAAGGTGGACTTATTAGAGAGGGGGCTTAATAGAGGATTCACAGTGCACACAGATGCCTGATTTGAATCTTGCAATGTTTTAGTCAATTAGTATTATAATAAAATAATTGATTATTATGGTTTGCTTATACATCAGTGTGCCAATTCTGATCTATGCACAACTGTGCTTTCTTCACTACGTAACATGTTTTAGAATATTTTTCTTTTATTAGGAACTCATTATCGTACATAAACAACTGATTATCTTATACCCCAAAAAAAGGAAATTAACATTTGCCCCAAAGGAAAAATTAAACTACCGTACATTCAAAAACTTCATATTATAATTTTTTACTTTACTTAATAAATGTATTTGTGAAAATAAAAAAACCGCTAACTAAAATATTAAAATAAACTATCTAAGAAGATAATCACAATAATTTATAAAATCATATGAAGTGTACCTCAGAAGTTTTTCATCCTGACTGATAGCATTCAAGTAGCTGCTCAATGTATTCTCCTTGAGACCTTGTCTTATCCATGCCATACATTTTTCTTGATCAGTTTTTGAGCGAAGCCTACATGAAACAAAAACAGGTTTTTAACTATATTTCAATGATAATTACTATTTGTTATTATAAACAAAGATCATAATTCAAATTAACATTGTAGATGTGCAAAAGCTTGATTTCTAAAACAGGTTGCTTTTGAGATACGTTCTGCACTGAATGAAGCAGCCGCTCTTAGCAAGTTAACCATGATACTTTTTTTAAGTAACTTGACTGAAAGCACTTCAAAATGTATTAACCTGTAAACAGTTTAACAGAGCTAAATAATCTAAGATTCCAAAAATAAGAGTATTTTTGGTCTCAAAACAGTTCAGGTAATATGATTTTTCCAGTTGTACTTGTAAGTAGTGCCTGCTTGCATGGTATAACTGAAATTTTTGTGGAATTTCTTGTGCCTACAGTGTAGGTAAAGAATCAATGATAAGTTGATTAAAGGTGTGCTCTAGCAGTGCCCAGTGAATCCTGGCACCTAACTTTTGCTCTCGGGCTACGAGAAAATCTTAACTGTTTTCAGATAAATTATTAGCTGGAGACCCTGGATTTCACAGGTTCAGAGCTCTGGGCAACTTCCTATCTTTCTTGCACAGTCTTAGGCTTGGTTGATTCATATAATGTTGGCTTTAAAGTAAATGCTAAATTCAGGGATACAATGTAAAAATATTGGACTGGGTTAACACAGTTGCCAATGCAACAGCTTCAAACAGGCTGGGGCAACTACATGACTACAATTTCAGCAGCCACGGTGTACAATACAAAAGAATTATTGTAGTATTGTGAAGTATGATATGTACACTAGTACTATCTGGAATAAAAATTAAAATACACTGTAACTGCAACAAGTAGTCTCATTGGACTACATATGCCTAAAGTAGGGGTGGCGAATGGTAAATGCGAGACTTTGCGAGACGGCGAGACTAGAGTTTTTCTTTGCGAGCCCGAGACATTTTGACTTTTTAGATTGCGAGACGAAGACTTCAAAGTGTTTTGAGTGCGAGCGCGAGACGTTTAGACTCTTAAAATTCGAGCCCCTGATTTGGTTCAGAGCTATGAGAAGATATG